GACCAAGGCCGAGCCGGCTGTGGACGCCGAGGTGAGCGAGGTGATGGCGGCTGTGCTGTCGCAAGTATCGATTGTGCCGGCTGAGCCAGTTGAGGTGGAACTGAAGTTTGGCGCGATGGAAATCGGTGCGGAGATGGATCTTGGCTTAATCTTTTCTGATGTAGGATCGGCAAGTGACGAAGTATGTTACCTGTGTGGAGATTGTGGTAGATAACGTTCATAATGGTGTCATGGTGATACCTGTGTGGTGAAAAGTATTGTCGAAGATCCCATTGCATTCGTTGTACAGGGCAAACGAAACGAAATGGTTCTACGTGTGAGCTCGAAGTGGAGCAAGGGACGCTAATAAAGAATGTTAATTCAGTAGCGGACACACGCAGATTGAAGTGACAACTATGTAAGACATGGAACATGTAAATGCCCAAATATTTAGTTACTTTTTTTTTACTTAGCTTGTAGATTCAAGTGATACCGCCAAGGCAAATGTTTTTATTTGCATGCACCTTCACTCATCACTTGACTCTCGACGGCGCCGGCTACAGTCAGCAAACAGCGAACCCAGTCAGTACAAATTACTCGATGTATCTACGCACTCAACAAAGGATAAACTACGTACCTTGCCGTCGGTGGTCTCTTGCTAGCACTTTTCTTGCTCTTATCGTCAGCACTATTTGAACTCGACGTTTTCTTAGCTCCGTCCTTGCTCTCTTTGCTTCCTCCATTCGAAGATGATTGAGACCTCTCCTTGCTGCCTGCCAATCCACTGGGAGCAACTTCTATCTCGTTGGCGAATGAGATCTCAACTTCATTCTCGGACGTCACACCGACGCGCTCAAGCCAATAGTCCATGCTGATCGCATAACCAGTTCCATTTGCAGCCTCAAAGTCGCGTGTTCGACGCTCCGGCATCTCCAAGTCGAGTTGAACCACATTGTCGCTGCGCCAGCGAACATTGAGCGGATCGATGAGTCGATTCCGCCTCGCATACTCGCTCTCAATTCGTCGAGCGCCACGACGAGAAATCGGGCGCTTAGGACGCAGAGACGACGGCTTTGTCTCGAGACGACTGACTTGCCAGGCGTCATGGTCGGCGTCGTATCGAGCTCGTTTCTCGAGACTCTGCGCCTCATCCAGAGGCACGAAGTGGCTAAGTAGTAGGTGTTTGAGTTTGAGTTGACGTGTCAATTCTCGAACCGTGTCCAGCATATCTTCCTTCTCAGCTTGAAACTCAACTTTAAGGTCCTCGATTTCCGTCGTTGCAGCCTTGTGCTTAGCCCAGAGTTTCTTGAGCTTCCTTGTCTTGTCATCTACGGCTTCCTGTAGTGTCGTATACTGTTCTTCTAGAAGCATATTGGAGTCTTCCTTTTCCGCCAGTTCTCGTGCTAGCTGCAGTTCCTGACGCTTCTGAGCTTCTACGCGAGCTTGAGCTTCACGAAGTTGACGCTCCTGCTTAGCAGCTTTATCCAGTACACGTCCACCAGAGATGAGTTTATGCTCTAAAGCCTCCAATTGACTGACCATTTCGTCCTTCTGCTTGGACATGGCTTCTTTTTGCTGCGCCTGAGACTGCAACTCGCGTTCAAGTTGATCTCGTTCCTCTTCAGTTCGTGATTGAGCCGCAAGTAGAGCCTTCATCTCTTCTTGTGCTTTCTGTTTGAGCTCACGCTTTTCACGTCGTGCATCTTCCTCCAGTTTTCTTAAGACTTCTTCACTTACACCTTCACGTTTCACCACCGTCTTCTCTACAATCCGCTCCACAATCTGCGGAGCGGCAACAGAGCTACCGTCTTTTGAGAAGGATTTACCTTCACCACTCGACGCAACCGGTCCATTCTTCTCCTGAGCAGCCAGAGCTTCACGTAGTTCCTTAATCTTCTCCTGATACTCTCGAATCTTAGCGTCTTTCGGGTCTTCATTGATCTTAGGTTTGTTTTTGATGTTCTTAGCACGGTTCGCATAGCGCAGAGTGGACAATGTTTCATTATAATTGTAGTCAGCAGGCCCGCAGTTGGCAATCATGACTGTCTTGGCATTGCCACCAAGAGAATCTTGAAGCAAACGCGTAAGTTTCGAGTCACGATACGGGATATGCTGTGATTTTCCGTCTACGAGTGCAGAAATGACGTTGCCCAACGCTGATAGACTCAAGTTGATCTTCGTCGCTTCTTTCATGCGATCTCCAGTGGCTCCTGTCTTGGCTTGTCGCTCACTACCCGCGAGATCCACGAGGTTCAGCTTGCCCACACAGATATGAGGCTTCCCGTTGGCCTCGGACTGCGCTGCGGATAACGCTTCAACTGTAATGGTGAACATGGAATGCGAGCGTGAAGACGTCTGGTTCATGAGTGTGGCTCCGACACTGCGGTTCTTCTTCCCCTGTTGCATCACAGCGTCGATCTCAGCGGCGGCTGCAACTTGGCGAGACGTCAGATCCTTTACAAAGACACCGGCGTCCACGGTTTCTTTGAGTTCAAGACGATTTTTTGGATCGGGTGCGAGCAGGTCACGGATCTCTTCGTTGTAGATCTCGAGATAAGACGCGTACACCATGAATTGTTTGCTGTCGGCCTCTGCAGCGATACGATCGAAGATGTGAGAGAAGGAGTTGGGGATGATACCTTTAGCCTCGGGTGGTTCCGAGTATCCCTCCATCGTGTGCGACTTGCCGGCACCTGTTTGGCCATAGGCGAAGATGGTTCCATTGAAGCCATTCACGACTGACTCGACAATGTCGGTTGCTGCCTGCGCATACACGTCTTGCTGTGAACTTTCAGGTGGAATGGCCGCGTCGAATGTGAATTTCTTCGGAGGCTCCCTGGCATCCGCTTCTGGATTGGAAAGCGATATTTCGCCCTGACCGGGATTGGCGTGGACAATATACGTCCGTCCATCTTGCACCTCCTTGGTGCTGAGTGGACGGATGCGTACGCATACGCGGACGCTTTCACTCTTGCTGGACATCTGGAGGAATGGGAAGGGAATAACTTGGATTGATTCCGACGCTTCAAACTCTGAGCTGTTAGCATTAACATTGGCGCTGCTGAAACGGCTTCGTTTTGGAGCTACGTCGAAAATATCGCCCTCAGCCGCTGTCAGATTTTAGTCCTTCCTACAACTACAATGGCGACGTGAAAAATCCAGAAATGTCATGCTCATGACAAAGCAGTGACTTACATGGAGAAGCTATGGGTACCGCATCGTATCCGTCCAGTCTTACATTCGGCGTTAAGTTGCCATTTTGAGCTACGTCTTTTATCAGTTCCCTTTTTTGCGCCCACTAGTCGGGATGTCACGGACGGGGGAACAGACTTTGGGCCAACTTCTAAATCATTTATGGACCGCTTTCCTAAATTATGAATGGTCTTTTCTTCACTTAAAACTATACTTAGTTTCGAGAGCGAAGGTCTTTGTAACATTCCTTCTGTAACAGTCGGACTAAATGTAACATCTCAAGCTATTAGATATTTATTTGCTTTGACATCTAAAAATCGATAGCCTTCGTAATTGTGCGAAACTCCCAACAGTCTACACTCAATCATCCTTTCACTTAGCTTAGAATCCTTTCGTTTTGTTTTTGGAAGGTGCGCATAGCACACAAACCCCCTGATCTGTAATACTAGGTCCGTTAGACTTTTTGTTGTAAAACATCTCATATGGGGTCTTCATTCCCAGTCAAACAATCTGTAGTCAGTTGGCTACGTCTAGTGCGTAAAGAAGCACCTCAAGCCGCCATTTAGCCGCCATGTTAGCGCCTCTTAGTGCACAGCGTACACCAGCTATGATGGTTTGATGGAAATTTGAAAATTCTTGATTTACGAACTCGGTCCCACCGTCGGTTCTAATTATTTGTACCTTATTGGTTAGAAACTGTACAGAATTGCTTTAAAAATGTTAATTTTAGAGGGAACCTCTTTTTAGGACAAATCATTACCTAAATGCAGTTGCATCATTCACTACTGCTAATAAGTTATAATACCCTAAGCTTCAACACAGACCATTGACCTTTAGCTTTCTTATGGTATCCATCAGGGATGCCCAAAAATAAGTATTTGGAAAAGTATATTTTTATTGCTTTGAACAATAATTTATTTTACCGTCATTTTGATCAGCCACAATATTTTATGTTGTCATTTTGGAAAAAGTGATACTTTATTTTCTGCTTGCGAGCACCATCCAAAACTGTTGGTTGTGGGTCCCTGCTTCATCCTTTGACAAGTGGAGGCCTCTAGACTTTCGACTTATTCTTCATTTTGCAGAATACCATCCCCAGAGCCCCCTAACCGATCCTACGTCGCCACCTGTCGCCATGACCACCACCCTCCTCGCCACTACGCCGCCACTCCAGACCTTCTCGCACAAGCAGGTTGCGGCCTTTTTCTTTAAGCCCGAGCTTGACAGCGAGGGAGAGCTGACAGGCTACCAAACCTGCAAGTCCTGCGGGAAATGGCGCAAGCATGCGCCGAAGAACGGCTACACGAACCTAGTGACGCATGTTCGCTCAGCCCACCTGAGTTTTGAGATGGAAATGCGTGATGCCAGCGCTGCCGCGACGGGAACGCTCGTTCCGTGGGTGAGCCAGAAGGCATCGGACCGCTACGCGTGGATTAAGTGGGTTGTCGAAGGCAATCTACCCCTCTCATTTTGCGAGTCAAAGGAAACACGCCGGTAAGTGCATGTATTTGGTTTGGCTATATCTCAAGTTTTCTAAAGGTTGTCATTTTATACAGATACACAAATTTAGCACCAGTGTCTGTGGGCACACTAGTCTCCAATATGGAGGACGTAACTAAAGCCGTGGAGAGATCCATCGGTCTCGACATGCCCACAGAGTTTGGGCTCATGTTCGACGGCTGGAGCCACGGAACAGAACACTATTTGGCTGTGTACGCGTGCTACGACGGGCCGAGTGGCCCATGCTACCCTCTCCTGTCCATGGCCCCCATTATGGACGAGCCTGACGACCAACTGGGTGCGGAGGGGCACCTGATTGCAATTGAGCGCTTCCTACCTTTTTTTGGTAAGACAATTGAGGGGTGCAAATTTATCGTTGGCGATAACTGTTCTGTAAACAAGCGCCTGGCCAACATGATGGGGGTGCCTCTAGTAGGCTGCGCGAGTCATCGCTTGCAGCTTGCGGTGCGCGACTACCTTACACCTCATGAAGATGCGCTTGAAGAAATTCAAATTTTGATGCGCAAACCGCGGACGCTGAAGCAGGCTGCAAAGTTGAGGTACCGTGACCAATTTTAGTTTGTTTTTTGTATGGTACTTATATTTCATACGACTATTTTTTGTGCAGGACCAAAACGCCTCTGATGCCCGTACTGCGTCAGGCCACACGCTGGTCCTCCACGTTTGCGATGCTGAAGCGTTATTTTATTTCCGCCTGCGGGAATTTCTATCAGCCGATGATGAAGAAATCTCAGACCTGCTGCCTTCGCGTATGACGCACCGCAAGCTGGACGGCGTGTTGTCCGAGCTTCGGTGCGTCAAGTCAGTGTCCAAAATGCTACAGTCCGAAGGTCTCACTCTACTTGATGCACGCGACCTTTTTGACGGGCTCCTGGAAGCTCGGCCATCAATGGCCAGATATCTCATTCAAGTTGCTTTCAATACTTATTTACAAATGTCTAACCAAAATGTATGCGTTCATTATACTTTAGCACCGAACGCCGACATTGTGCATTCGCCTGAGTTTGAGGCTGCTGTGGTGAAGGTTCTGGCGGGAAAACAGGAGACGTTGGTTGACGATGAAGCAGTTATCCTAGAGCCCTTTCTTCAGCGCGAAGTGCCCCCAAACGCGTCGGCGGAGTCACCATCGGAAGAAGAGGGCTTCGCCGAGCATATTCTCAAGCGTCGACGGATTTCCAGCGAACCTCCTACCTACAAATTGCTCCGCTCTATTCCTCCAACCTCCAACGCAGTAGAGAGGCTATTCAGCATTGCTCGTGCTGTTCTACGTCTCGAGCGCCATCGTTTGTCGCCGATGACGCTCGAGATGATCCTGTTTTTAAGGATCAACTCGGCTTACTGGAACGTTGCAACCGTTGATAGCTGCGTGTAATGCAACAAATACAATTGCAGCAATTTATTGTTGCTTCACGAATTCTGCATTTATTTATTTGTCTGTCATGCAAACGTCAATCAATTTCGTTTTTTCAGGTTGAAGCCCAAGTTCGATTGTATTGTATTTTGAGCATCCCTGGTATCCATGTGAAGTGCCTGGAGTGCTGTTGAGCGCCACCAGGGCGCAGTCTTCAGACGACACTGCCAGCAAGGTATGCTGCCGTCACCGCGATTTCTGCAGGATCTCGAGCTGTCCGTCTCTGCACATAGCCTCCAATCCCAGCACTGGTCTCTGGCGGCAGGAGCACCCGGCAAATGGCAAGGCGTGGCGTGTGCCGAGGACGAAGCAGGACAAAAATCGACTGCAGCATTGTACGAGCGGCACGCGGCGACAGACCGGAGTAGATGAAGGCATGCAACTGCAGCAGCGATTGGCGGAGCAGCGGCACACAGAATGGAGGATCAAACGCAGGAGCTGCTAGCCACGAGGGTTAGTCAGTAGGGCATGTCTGAAGGAATCTAACGCTAAATCTCACTTCGCAATTTACCTTTTGAGCTCAACTTGCCATAACTGGCAGCATTGCTTTATCTCCCACTATACCTCGATATGACATTCGCCTATGCTTCATCTGGCAGCTTGTATTACAAAAAACACTCACCTTATTCAAATCAAAATGTGACAGATTTGGAATATTTTCAAAAAGACGTTCCTTACCTACATGGTCCAACCGTAGGTTCCATTCCTTAGAACACACTCACGGTTAGTTTTCCGAGCAATGCATGCTCTTAATTTTGTTTCTGCGCTTTAGGTATGAGTGGATAGCATACACCATCAATTGCTGCAGTAACTTTCTTGTCTTATCAAAGAACAATAGAAATTCCCCAAATTTGCTTTGTACATGGTGGTATCCTCGTTTTGCTTGGTAGTCAGGGATGCTCAAAGATAAATACCGAAAAAGGTTCATTTTTATTGGTCGGAACAACTATTTATTTGCGATCATTTTGGTCCAGGTCAGTTATTTATGTTACTGT